CATGCGATTTCTTGCCTTGAACCTTACCATTGGCTTATTTGGGACCCATTGCGATGTATATTATAACAAATTTTATGCTCAAATAGCAAAAGCTCTGAAAATAAACGGTAAATCCTTGTGAAGAATTCAGGTGGGATAGTCACTGGGCGCAAGGCACTGACAAACTGAGCGACGATCGCCATTCCACCACACGCTAGGTCGGCCCGTACGCATATCAACAAACTCGTATCCTGAGGCAACCCTCGTAACCCGATACAAATTTTCCGAGCAAATCCTGCTCGTAACCTGAAAACCTCGTAACCAGGGGTGCTCGTAAGCCGAGGTACCACTGTACTTGTATCAGAAGCACCGTCACTAAACCCAGAAAATGACTCAACAGTATCACTTTCATCACAAATGGGAGATGGTGGTGGTGGTGGGGATAATACTGGCAAGGGCAATGACCTGTGATGCACCGCTGTGCGTGCCGCTCGCCCCTGAACAATACGCCCTCACTGTATCTTCTTCCTCTGTATCTGTTTCACTTTCATCGCACCCTTGTGTTATGTCTCTATTAGTCGTTGGGTCATCAATATAATATTCCACTTCATCTTCAAACAATAAAGTGTTTATCTCCCCTGGAGAAAGAGGTCTTGCAACAGCGCGTCCCACAGGTGATTGGGAGCCGGAGGCGCGTGCGTCAGCCATGGTTGCTCTATCAGAACTAAGGCTACCCTCGGCCCTAGGGCATTCTGGGATTTTGTTTCAAAATGGCCACCACTTACTGAAGGCCTCAGGTATCTATCTGAGATAGATACCAAATGTATACCAAACATAACCAAACGTGTGCATGTTTCAAATGGATACGAAATGTTCAAAAGGTGTTTTCTCGGTTGGCGCAGTTTTCCACCGCCCGAATTTTCTTGGCGCAGCACAGTGGTTAAGAGTTAAAAGATATCAAAATGTAAACAAGAAAAATACTGTACTGGTATATACAAAATTAACCCTTAAACTGCACAACGCACCTGCAGGCCCTTGTCTGGTTTGCGCATCGCGCCTCCAGGTACAGTACAACCTCGATTCAACGTACTATATGGGACCACCCCTGTCGTTGGAGCATTGGATTCGTTGCAAGAGGTGACCTTCAGGAGGCGTTTGCATCAGTGTGTGTTTTTTTTTCTTGTGCACAATAAAAATGCATTATCATATTACATACTGTACCTATATTTTACTACTCTACTAAAAAATACTGTAATTCATGTATTTACCTTATTGTTGGAGTTATATCCATCTTGAAGTTTTGTGAAGTTGTGAATGCTCTACAGTAAATAGGTACTGCAGTGCATTAAGCCGTTAGCACTGTATTATTAAAAGTAGTTTTGCCGTATGTTGAGTACTACAATACAGTTCATGAAAACTATTGTACACTAGAATTACTGCAACTTTAATTTTAACACTATGTATACACTTAAATTTAACACTTATTCTAATTGTTCACATCACACACGATGTTTTTAGATGTTTGCATCAGCTTTGTTGGTGCTCACTGCTGCTGTGTTGGCTTCAGCTGCTTTTGTGCTGATGCTGGGTATGGCTGTGCTGGTGCTGGGTACGGCTGTGCTGGTTGATTTTCTGCTAGTTCGTGAAAAATATTGACTCATTTTCGTTTGTTTCCTTCTTTTTGTCATGTCTTTGAGACAAATATCTTTCATCATCCTTAGGTGTTGATAAAAGCCTGGTAGCTCTGGATTGTCAGTTTGTGAAACAATATCAAGGAGTTTTTCAACATAGAACGATGCGTCAGCACACGTAGCAGATTGTAAACTGTTATCATTCTCATCCTCATCTTCCTCTCCGTCGTCGTCAACATTATGCCAGTAACATTATGTATAATCTCATCATCTGTTAAATGACCAATGGGTGGATCGACTGCATCAATATCTAACCACTCCTCCACATCGTTCAGCATCAACTCCACCTCACCAGCGGCATGCCGTTCTTGATAAATATCATTTGAAAATCCTTCAAAATCCATTTCTTCCTCAGTCACTTCATCAGCTTGATCAAGCAACAATAGTTTTTTCCAACAATTCCTTAATGTTGACTCTTTTAACTTCATCCCAAACTTTAGCCCAGTTGTAAATGGCTTCCTTAATTGAGTATTTTTTGTAACGTTCCAGTGTTGCTTGACCTCGCGAATTGGTTCCTTGTCTTTTGTCTTCATCTGACTCAAACACCACCAAGATTTCTTTATTCATTACTCGTTTGTAGAGCCTTTTCATTGCATATATAACACCCATATCCATTGGCTGGATCAGAGAGGTGGTATTGGGAGGCAAGGCCATACATTTGATGCGTCCATCATGTGACGTTAATGTGTCGAGCCCTACATGAGCTGGGGCATTGTCAACCAAGAGTAATGCCTTGATATCATTCCGTCTCACTCCACACTTCTTTATCTGAAAATCTCTTACTTCTTTGCAAAAATGATTTTTGAGCCAGTCTACAAAAATATCTCCAGTAAACCAAGCTGTTTTAGAGCTGTAGTAGACCACAGGTAGCTTGTTCATTAAATTTTTCAAAGCACGTGGGTTTTTTTACTTCCCCACAATGGCGGACTTTGTTCTGTGACTTCCGTCTGTATTTGCACACAGCATGGCAGAAACTTTTTCTTTGTTTACCTTACGGCCAGGAACACTCTCATCTAGCTTAGGTGCCAAAGTGTTGTTCTGCAAGCATTTCCAATTAAAGCCTGTTTCATCAGCATTGTATACCTGAAAACGCCTTAGATCATTTGTTATTATGTAATCATTTAATTTACACTTAAATGGCTCGACAGAATCCGTATCTGCACTTAATGATTCTCCAGAAACTTTCCTGTTCTTAACCCCTTAACTGCGTTGCCTCCAAATGTGACACCCCCGCAGTGCGCAGGAAAAAAATTCTCTGGAAAAAATTATTTTTTATTTTTAAAGTGTCAAAAACCCTTCCCTCAGTATGGGTATGTAAAAAAAAAGTCGAAATTGTACTTACTTTGGCTGCTATGGGGTCCGGAAGTTGGGGCGTGACGTCATCATTCCCCGTGCGCCCGTGCCGTAAGCTCTCGGGGGCGCTCGGGGCGGGGCACGCGAGTTGCCGCGAATATATTTTCGTTCATTTTTTGCGCACCTTTCCAAATACATTTTCATTGTTTTTATGTGCCAATCCAATGTATAATGAAGACGTACACTATAATATCGCAGTACAACATCCGTACTGTCCGTAGACACTGTGTTACGTGCATGAAACTTGTGTACACATATGCAGCACATATTTACTATGTATCATGCTAATTTGTGTATATATACAATCTATTTACACACTATACACTGTCACACACTATATACATTCACCATCAACACATTCAGAACACCGTGTAGCAGCTGCTTCGTATGGGCCAATAGCAGCTGCCCCGTATGGGCCAATAGCAGCTGCCCCGTATGGGCCAATAGCAGCTGCCTCGTATGGGCCAATAGCAGCTGCCTCGTATGGGCCAATATCAGCTGCCTCGTATGGGCCAATAGCAGCTTCCTCGTATGGCCAATAGCAGCTTCCTCGTATGGGCCAATAGCAGCTGCCCCGTATGGGCCAATATCAGCTGCCCCGCATGGGCCAATATCAGCTGCCTCGTATGGGCCAATATCAGCTGCCTCGTATGGGCCAATATCAGCTGCCTCGTATGGGCCAATATCAGCTGCCTCGTATGGGCCAATATCAGCTGAAACGTATGGGCCAATATCAGCTGCCTCGTATGGGCCAATATCAGCTGCCTCGTATGGGCCAATAGCAGCTGCCCCGTATGGGCCAATAGCAGCTGCCCCGTATGGACCAATAGCAGCTGCCCCGTATGGGCCAATAGCAGCTGCCCCGTATGGGCCAATAGCAGCTGCCCCGTATGGGCCAATATCAGCTGCCTCGTATGGGCTAATATCAGCTGCCTTGTATGGGCCAATAGGAGCATTTGGCCATGAACACATTCAGAACACCTCGAGTGAGAGCAGCCAGTCTCCCTCACTCCAACATCTTACTCGCCAACATTGCTCATCCCACCATATTGTTATAGTTCTTATTACACATGTTCTATATACCTATCTACATGTTTTATTTACCAGAACTATGCAAGTAAGCCGGTATTGTGTCCAAACAGTACAGTGGCCACAATACACTGCATGAAAAATCACACAGCAGACGACGCTACGATTACGTAACCTCCCTCACCAAAATAGCTCCTCTCAACATTCTCCTGTTGCTGTTCTTACACTATATACACACACTATATATACCCATGTACATATGTGTTGCCCATAGCGAACCACTAAGCTAGTATGGTGAGCAAAACAAGAGTGGCAGCCACACACACAATGAGGTTACCTCAATTCTCGCCCTCCCTCCCTCATCTAAATTCCTCCTTCCACAATACTACGGACAACGCTAATTATAACCACAATCCTGCTATTATCACAATCCTGGTCACTAATTCCTGTAAATGAATAATTGACCACACGTATATTTTGAAAAGGAACCTAAGAAATCATTTGAAGATTCCTAGATGAACGAAATAATGCTGTGGTGCTGTGGCTAGCGCTGTGAACATCGTGAACAGCATTGAATCACTGATATTTGAACATTATACCCAGTCATTATCACTCTCAGGCTCTAATATAACACTATCATAGCTAAATAATACAAGTTATATATATATTTTGACATTATTAGGCGATGCTGTGGTCACATGCTGAACAGCAGTGCTGTGCGCTCATGCTGCAAGCGCCAGCCTTGGTTGCTCACACACTACTGAGGCTCCCACACCCGGGAATGTGGACCACGATTTTTTTTAAAGATGGCGTCTGTTTACAAGAGCCCTGAGGAAGCTGATGTGAACCCCATGTAGCCGCGGGAGTTTTGAATGGAACGTGAAAAATACAAATACCCGGAGGCGCGTTGCGCAAACCAGACGTGAGCCTGCAGGCGCGTTGAGCAGTTTAAGGGTTAATATTATGTCTATTCTTAAATCTTTGCAACCATCCTTCACTTGCTCGAAAATCTGGAATGTTCATCTTTTGTGCAAATTTATCGGCTGCTGTCTTAATGGCGTCGCCGCCAAGTGGCATCCTCACAGAGCGCTCCTGGTTAAACCATTTATACACAGCTTCGTCCAAATTCGTGTTTGCAGAACCTTTTATTGTTTTCCTTTTATTTAATGCACCACTATCACTCGAAGCAAGGAACTTCCTAATATCTTTCTGTCTCTTCATATCACACACCGTACTTTTCCCGACTTTAAATTCTGCTGCCATCCTAGTAACAGAGTAGCGACGTTCATGTTTCTCTATCATGTCTAATTTCTGCTCAATGGATAAAAAACTTCTCTTCCTCTTTGTAGATACAGCACGATTAGCAAGCCCTTGAGACATCTTGTTGTATATTAATAAAGCTGTAGTAAAAAAAATGGTAAATTCCACGATTATTCTTTCACCGGCGGACAAACATGTCACTTGCACGCAGACAAAGCTAACGGCACTGGGTGCCTACTGTATGAACACAGACTAGGTCTATACACCCTCCAGTAGGCTGGTGTTTAAGCCAGATTCAGTAACATAAATTTATCTCAAATATTGAATTTACATCATATTATATATTTTTAGGTTATATATTTAGATTAGTAACATTATTAGGATAATAAGAGATATAAGAAACTTATTTTAGAACTGGTTTATTAATTTTATTATTTCGAAGCCGTAGTCACTGAACTGTGGCGACGAAATGAAACGAGAAATGCATGGTACTGTGTGTACAGGGATTAGACCCGTCCACTCGCTCACACTGGAGTTGTTCCAATAACAAATAATTTCTCAAATAGCAGATGTCTATCATATTACAGTATATTTTCGGTTTTATTTAGTTTAGTTTAATTAGGATAATAAAAAGCTATTAACCCTTAAATGGCACATGGCTATACAGTGGTACCTCGCATAACGATTGCCCCAAAAGACGAATATTTTGGGTAACGAACGGCCCGATCGGCGTCAAATCGTCCCGTATGACGAACGCTGGTTTGAGTAACGTCAACACCACATGGTGGGGTCGCGCTGCTTCTTGCACATTCTTAGATGCCTCCGACGATGCACATAAATTATGTTGTTCTTGTTTAAAGATGCTAATGATGCTGGGATATAAAAGGGTGACTGCTGAGATGTTGCAAAGCATTGACGTATTTGTAGGAAAAAAGAAATGAAATGTCTGATATAAAACAAATGTCAAAAAGGTTCGTTCGGTGGTCGGCAGGTAGGCTGCTCCATGTTTCTTACATACAAAAAACGTAAATAATAAAAAAAATGAAGAATTTTGAAAACCAGTACAAATGTCAAAAAGGTTCGTTCGGTGGTCTACAGGTCGGCTGCTCCATGTTTCTTAAAAAAAAAAAAAAAAAAAAGAACTGTTGAAACAATTTGAAAAATGGACAAATGTCATAAAGGTTCGTTCAGTGTTTGTCGGGTAGGCTGCTCCATTATTGAGACGTAAGTGACAAATACAAAACAAATGGAACACATTTGAAACAAAGAAAGATTGTCATAATGGAGCAGCCTACCCAACAAACACTGAACGAACCTTTTGCTATAACGAATATGAAAGACAAGGGCTGCTGGATGGGTTAGTAGTGCGTGAGCAACCATTTGTGGCACACGTGCCTCTGGCTCTCAAACACCTGTCCCACACGGTGTTGAAAGACTGTGCTCAGTCGGTGCAATTCAGACCCTATTGTTTGAAGAACATAAGGGTCATAACATTGTGAAGCTTGGCGCAATAAGGGCTTAACACAACGGTCGGATGCCAGTGATACAGCACCCTATGAGGATGATACAGCGAGCGTATCCAGGTGTAGCTCTGAGCCCCACCCTTGCCATCTCTAATGTATATAGATGATACATAGATCAATCATTTTCTGCGTTCAGTGATGATGCATCTGATACAAGTAGCATAGATGAACAGTGTTAGCGGCTTCCATGGTGGTGGTGTTCATTGATATTTTCAAGAATACCTGAATCTCTTCCTGACTGATGGACACTCTTTGAGGCTAGCTGAATCTCTTCCTGACTGATGGACACTCTTTGAGGCTAGCTGAATCTCTTCCTGTGTGGGACCTTACAAAGCGATCTTTTCAAGACTACCTTACAAATTGAGCTTTTCCTATAATCGTTTCAATGCTACTTTATGCTTTACAAGCTTGGCTACATACCACCTACAAGTACAGTACAACCTCGATTCAACGTACTATATGGGACCGACCCCAGTTCGTTGGAGCGTTGGATTCGTTGCATGAGGTGACCTTCAGGAGGCATTTGCATCAGTGTCTTTATTTTTCTTGTAGACAATAAAAATGCATTATCATATTATATACTGTTCCTATATATTATTACTCTACTAACAAATACTGTTACATTTGTTATTTACCTTATTGTTGGAGTTAAGTCCATCTTGAAGTCTCATGGAGTTGTGAATGCTGTACAGTAAATACATACTTTAGTGTATTATGCTGTTAACACTGTGTTGAGTAGTTCTGTTGTATGTTGAGTACTACAATAAAGTTTATGAAAACTATTGTAAACTAAAATTACTGCAACTTTAATTTTAACACTATATTTTGATTTGTCAAGAGGCTGGAGTGTTCATTCTGCGACTTTGTTGGACATATCGGCACAATCAAGGAACATCCGTGCACCATGTCGGCTCCAAATGCAGTCATTGTGTCAGTGATGGCTGACTGGTGGGTGGATGGGCAGGCAGGCAGGCAGGCAGGCAGGCAGGCAGGCAGGCAGGCAGGCAGGCAGGCAGGAAGGCAGGCAGGCAGGCAGGGAGGGAAGCAGGCAGGCAGAGAGGGAGGCAGGCAGGCAGGCAGGGAGGGAGGCAGGCAGGCAGGGAGGGAGGCAGGCAGGCAAGGAGGCAGGCAGGCAGGCAGGCAGGGAGGGAAGCAGGCAGGCAGAGAGGGAGGGAGGCAGGCAGGCAGAGAGGGAGGGAGGCAGGGAGGGAAGGCGGCAGGCAGAGAGGGAGGGAGGCAGGGAGGGAAGGAGGCAGGAAGGGAGGCAGGCAGGCAGGGAGGGAGGCAGCCAGGCAGGCAGGCAGGGAAGGAGGCAGGCAGGCAGGGAGGGAGGGAGGGAGGGAGGCAGGCAGGCAGGGAGGGAGGGAGGCAGGCAGGCAGGCAGGCAGGCAGGGAGGCAGGCAGGCAGGCAGGGAGGGAGGGAGGGAGGCAGACAGGCAGGCAGGCAGGCAGGCAGGCAGGCAGGGAGGGAGGGAGGCAGGCAGGGAGGCAGGCAGGCAGGGAGGGAGGGAGGCAGGCAGGCAGGGAGGGAGGCAGGCAGGCAGGCAGGCAGGCAGGGAGGCAGGCAGGCAGGCAGGCAGGCAGGCAGGGAGGGAGGGAGGCAGGCAGGCAGAGCTTGGAAGGGAGGCAGAGATTGGGAGGGAGGTAGGCAGGAAGGGAGGGAGGCAGGCAGGCAGAGCTTGGGAGGGAGGCAGAGATTGGGAGGGACGTAGGCAGGAAGGGAGGTGGGCAGGCAGAGCTTGTGAGGGAGAGGCAGAGAGGGAGGCAGGCACGGAGGGAGACAGGCATGGAGGGAGGCAGGCAGAGCTTGGGAGGGAGGCAGGGAAGGAGAGGATGGAGATGGATTGATGGTAGGATGGAGGGAGGGATGGAAGGATGGATGATTTGAGGGTGTGTGTGTGTATGGGCTGTAGGGGTGGGGGGGGTGGGGTGGGGGAGGTGTGTCGGTGGTGGTGAAGGGACCGACTCGACTCGGTGATAACCCTAACTCTGACCCAGTTAACTTTTTTTTAACTTGATTTGTTTCTTCAATTCTGGATGGATGGAGGGAGAAAGGGGATGGATGGATGGAGTGAGGGGATGGATGGATGGATGGAGGGGGGATGGATGGAGGGGGGATGGATGGATGGAGGGGATGGATGGAGGGATGGATGGATGGATGGGGATGGATGGATGGAGGGAGGGGATGGATGGATGGATGGAGGGGGGATGGATGGATGGATGGAGGGGATGGATGGATGGATGGATGGATGGAGGGGATGGATGGATGGAGGGGATGGATGGATGGATAGAGGGAGGGGATGGATGGATGGAGGGGATGGATGGATGGATAGAGGGAGGGGATGGATGGATGGATGGAGGGAGGGGATGGATGGATGGATGGAGGGAGGGGATGGATGGATGGAGGGAGGGGATGGATGGATGGATGGAGGGAGGGGATGGATGGAGGGAGGGAGGGGATGGATGGATGGATGGATGGATGGATGGATGGATGGATGGAGAGAGAGAGAGAGGGGGGGGAGGGAGAGAGAGAGAGAGGGGGGAGGGAGAGAGAGGGAGGGAGGGGGGAGGAGGGAGAGAGAGGGAGGGAGGGGGAGGGAGGGAGAGGGAGGGAGGGAGAGGGAGGGAGGGAGGGATGAAACAAGCATGGTGTGTGTACAGGGATTAGACCCGTCCACTCACGCTAGAGCTGTTCCAATAACATACAGTAATTTCTCAAAGAGCAGATGTCTATCATGTTACAGCATATTTTCAGTTTTATTTAGTTTAGTTTAATTAGGATAATAAAAAGCTATTAAAACACTGGTTTTAGAAATTATTTATTAATATGGAACTTTCAAAAGTCATGGGTCACTGAACTATGATGACACACAGACGAAAGTGAGTGAAACCTCACTGTAAAGTGAGGTTTACAGTACAATATTCTCTTATCTGTCCACCCTCACTCATCTTGTTTCATCACAGAAAATGTCTATAAGGAGATTTTACCACATGTAGCTAGGTAATCACGCTTCATCCTTTAAACTAATGTACAAAGATACGTGTGCCCCAAATCAGTGAACGAAAATCATGGAAACTCAGTTGTTCACTTGTGTGGATCACTGGCTAGTGTTTGTGTGGACCATTTTGGCTGGTGTTTGTGTGGACCATTTTGGCTGGTGTTTGTGTGGACCATTTTGGCTGGTGTTTGGTTCATATGGTTCACTTGTGTGATCCAACTTCTTATGAAGGAATTATTAATTGTAATCTGTGATAGAATGAGAAAGTTTTCCACCACTCTGTGAACTCTGTCCCAAAATCGTAAGCTTGTGGACCACTTGTGGTCCACATGTGTGGTCCATTTGTGTGGTCCACTTGTGTGATCCACTTGTGTGATCCAACTTGTCATATGAGAGAATTATTAATTGTAATCTGTTATAGAATGGGAAAGTTTTCCACCAGTCTGTGAACTCTGTCTGGACATCGTAAGCAAATCCGAACATCCCTCGCTTCGGCGAACCATTGTTCGTCGAACCGGGTGAGTAAATTCGGCCTGAAAAGTGTGTGAACTAGCCGGAGATTCGTTGAATCGGGGTACGTTGAATCGAGGTTGTACTG